GAATGGGAGGACAGCCCAGCGAGATGGTCGTACACCACATGCTGAAAAGCAAGGTGCAGGAAGTGATTCCTCCATGCAGTTGGCCAAACCCCCTCACCACTCCCACTGTGGCTGTACAGCGGGGATTCCCTCCGGGGTCTCCGGCCACTCACACTGGCTGACGGCCCATCCTTCATCGGTCACTCATCGGCATCACAGGGAAAATAACCAAGCCGCAATCGGACCAGCAAGCACGGGAGGTGCTCCTGGGCTGTTAACCCTCTACCGCTGTTTGCCAGCACTCAGCTGATCATTATTATATTATTCCTCCTTAGGAGCCACTTTTTCCAGTAACTTTGCAAACGATGTAAAACAGGGTGGCCAAGGACTTTGTTCATTTTCAAAGCCAGATGAAGAATCTCTAAAACAGTGTTTTTCCCAATCTGGTCCTCAGGGACCCATGGACAATCCCAAGAACCGGGCTGAGAAACACTGCTCTAAAGGCTTGTTGGATTTTTCCATTCGGATTCCCAGAGAATTCCTGGTGGGGGTTGTGGCCAGACAGAAGCCTGCAGGATATGTCAGCAGCCCATTGTGAGTCAGAAAGCAAAGTGGAAGCCCCCACACTGCAGCCCCACCACGTGCTTCCACTAGTGAAGCCACTGGCTCCCCCCCCCCCCCCCACAGCAGAGCCTCCCTGTCAGATTCTGTCAGCTATTTACGGATTCTCGGCAAATAGGATGCCACCCTTAGCTTTTCAGAGAGGATAAACACCCAGACTGTATAAAAGGGGAGCTTTTCTGTTTTTTTTCCCATTTTTCTGTTTTCGTTACATGGTGGCCCCTGGAGGGGAACAATTCATGCCCATCAGCCTGTTCTCGGACTCAGGAGGCTGTACCTTCCAAAACTCGGCCCAAAGGCAGTCACATGACGGGCATCAGGTGATTAGCAGCCCCCAGGTGGGTGCGAAGGACTCCCCCCAAATTGCTCACAGACGCTGACAGCCAGGCAGAGGGAAGGTTGTTATTCCTGGAACGGCAGAGGTTGGCCCCAGCGAGTCTAATTCTCTTACACGAGTGTCTCCTGGGAAGCCACGTCAGCCGCATACTCATGAGGACTACGGGCAAACCCTCACAGAATGATCACCGGCCCAGTTAGAGCCCAGTTAGAGCACAGCACACTTACAGAGCGGCGCCATGTCCCATCGAGGCACACTTAGATGGGCATCACAGCCACGGGAGCACGCTGGCCAGGCTGTGGCCTAGTTCCTCTCAGCTGGTACACTGCGTCTCCTTTGATAACTAAGGTGGCTCCCATAACAGACCACCTGGCCTGTGTGTGCCATGTCCTTCCCGCCGTGTCCATCTGCCAGGCCCAGTTTCCACGGAGGGGGTAGCACACGATGGCTTGGCACAGGGTGACAGGACAATACCACCTTGGAGTCCAGCTCCCAGCGGAAACCCACTGATGATGCACGAAAAAGAGAAGAAAAAAATCAGTAGGGAGGTAAAGAAACAGGAAGTAATAGTGTAACAGTGTAACCATAGCACCTCTTGTGTACTAACTATCTCAGCCATGAAATGACATTACTGATTAAAAATGGGTGTTTGTTACAGCCCAGCCTTAAGGAGGCTGCATACTTCAAACTAAATCAATGGAATCGACATCCTTTTGGCAATGGATGTCGTATGATGCATAATCGCCGCGGTCATCCCTGTTCAGGCACGCTGCTGACTGACATCAATGTGACGCCACAAGGCTGGTCAGCAGGAGTAATTATGCCCTTACCAGCATGATTTGCACACAGTTTAAATAGTGAAAATTAATATGTATATTCATGTATTTCTGTAAAGAGTAAATATACCAGTATCGTGTTTGCCATGGAATGCATATGTTTTGTTAGCATGTCCCCGTGAGTGTGGTGTAAATTGCTGGCTTCCCTGTCTTTGCCGTTGCTAGTTCTAAACCGATGGTGGTGGTTAATAAAGACAGTAACTTTCATTTTAAAAGAGTTGTCATCACCTTTATTAAAATGACTCACTCTCCGGGATACGTTTAAATGTATTCTGTATATGGGTCTGCTGCTTCAAAAACATTCTGCACCCTCTAGGGCATTTGCCAATGCAGTCCTGCGGACCCACAGGCAGGGAGCTGGGAGGGAGCAAAAACATGGACCGTCTGTGGGTCCCCAAGGACTGGATTGGGAAGCACTAATGTAGGGGTGTGGTGTGACAATACGAACAAAGCGTTTGAAGTACGCAACAGATTGTTCTCACCAACGTGTTCGGTTTCATTTAGCCCAGATGCCATTTGAAGTGTGCGGCCACCATTAGACAGCCTGACCTTTTGACACAAGCTTCTTTAATGTGACTGGGGTGAGCAGTATCCCCATGGCGAGGGGGCTGGGTGTGGTGAGAGGCCACTGGGCAGGGCCTTGTTAGGCCAGGGGCAGCAGGCCGGTCACAGAGGGAAGGCTTTACTAGACATAAACTCACAGAAAGGTCTTCCCTGAGCGAGGCCCTTAACCCCAAATGCTCCAGGGACTGGCTGACTCTGCTTTCTCAACTTTATGTTGCCTTGGACAAAAGAGAGATCCAAAAAAATTTAAATGCCATATGAATCTGCATATTTCTGTGAAAGGTATTTGCATATTTTTTGGGCCGCTTTGCATCATGCTGTTTTCTCACTGCTGCTTGTGTTTCCGAGAATAACAAGCAGTCATAAAAGAAAATGACACCTAAAACAGTTTTAGTTTCTTGAATTGCAGACTGAAATCACATGTAAGCTCATTACTAGCTTGAAACAGTCACGACCCATGAGATATAAGTAATGACAAAAAGCTAAGTAATGACAACAAGGCTTTGAAACCTCACAGCAGGGGAAATTACTGTGCACTTACTGTCCACCCATGTTTACACTGTTGGCTCCCCCTGGGTCACAGGAGCAATCAACAGTGCCAGTCACCCTAGTCACAGTGGATTTCAAAGCCTCATTTTTCCAATTAAAGGACACAAACACCTATGGCAGGGGTAGGCAGCCCGGATCCTGCCGGTATAGTTTGAAAGGTGAACTGGGGGAAAGTGTAAATTTAATATAAGTTTGCATTGACTGCCTTCATTTTATTAAGTTATTACCATAGTGTAGGAGTAGGGAGCCCTGATCCTGGAGTGCCAGTGTGCTGCAGGTTCTCCATCCTACCTGGTCTTTGATGAACCTCAGCTGATCTCAGGCAGATAGGAATCCTCAGGTAGGATAGAAAACGTATTCGGTATCCGGCCGGTTTCAAACTATACAGGGAAAAATATCTGAAGTATTGTAAAATTCTGTCAGTACAGTTAAAAGTCAATATGGTGAGTTACCAGATATTTTGAAACATCCTGAAGAAAACAGGGCAAGGCATTCTCAGCACTAACGGACCTGCACATGGTGAGGTTCCTAAGGTATATTCCATATGTTACTTCTGGAAAGCCCACATCATCGGGACAGGCTCCCACCAAAGCCATAAGGCAGAAGCTTCCAGCCTAGCAGAGGCTGCAAGGAGACCCACCGGGACCGCTAGCTCCTTTGTGCTACGCTAAGCTATTAAACGGAAAAATGTATCTATGGGCTATCTGCTGACCTGGAACCGAGGAACAAGAAGTTCCTCATCTCAGCACATGTTCCTAACCCATTGAGTAAAAGAAGCATGAGAAAGCTTCCAATAAATCTTTGGAAATAGTCTATAGCTGTATCAATAGGATTATATAACCCCATTATCACATCAGATAATGTCCCCTGAGGTATAACATAAACTTTTTCTTACCACACTGGAAACTTCCTTAAGGGTACAGAATGACCCTTCCCAGTACATTAAATCCAGCTCAGCGGAGATGTAAGCCACAAGCTCTCTTTAATTGCTCGACAGAGACACCAGTGATGGGGATTTAATGCAACAGCTGTACCTGGTTGCATATGCATCCTTGCATAAGTTTACACTCATGCCCATAGTGACATACAGTTGTGGCAGACAGTGCATTACATGCATATGGCTGTCAAGGATTCCAGTGAAGTTTCCACTGAGTTTCACCCCACAGAGAGCTGCTTTTCAGTGCAGAGGAGAACACTACACATCATCATACATCCATGTTTCAGATTATGGAAACAGGCCCTCAGAAGGCTAGAAAGTTCCTTGATGGGGTTCAGCTTTGTAACATATCAGAAAAGGGATTCTAAAAAGGGCATGCCTGAATTAACCTAAGCAGCATCAGTTCATATCTTATTGTAAATCAGTTAAGAGCTGTAAAACACTCTGAATTACCCTGCTGGCTGAGCGATTATGTCACATACATGATGACGCTGTCAAAAATGCGTTTAAAAAATTATTTACAAATAAAAATTATTATCACTTAAAAAGTTAAAGTAGTTCTGATACTTGCATTGCACCATATTTGGGACTTGGACCAGCGGACGAATCTGGGCATAGCTCAGTAGTTATAGGGGAGCGAGGTATTAAGTAACAGAGTGAATTTCCACTTGTGGGGACTGAAAAAATGGTCCCCAGAACATCAAAATAACAGGATTTTATCACACTGGTGGACATTTAGTCCCCAAGATGTAATATAGATAAAACCCACACACACACACACATGCACACACTCACATGCGCAAACACATGCACACACACCACAGGCTGTATCAGCCATAAGCTGTTTGAGTCGCTCTATGGCTTCACGTGCCAAGAGCTCAGTAATACTTCAGTGTGCGCCTATTCCATCCAGCTGGATAAAGGCCCATTTTGAGGTGATAACATTGGCATATAAAGCGACAGACCGTGTTGCTTTGGCCCTCTCATCTGACATAGATAAGACACCTATACTGCCTTCACTGTTTTAAACACGTTTGTCTCCTTGACCGATCTAAAATTATCACCAAAAGCAACATTATCTGTATGCAAAAACTCGTTTCTTGTGTAGTGCAACAGGAAACAGAAGCACTGTATAAATTAGCACAGGGGCAAAAAAAAAACAAATAATTGTTGTTTGTTATCAGGAGAGCAGTGTCACCTGGCATTCCAGTTTGCCTAATAAAATTGGAGAGGGTGATGAAGGCCGCCCCACCCCCAGCCAGCCAGGTTTCAGGGCTCTAAGGCAGCCTACCTAAGGTTGCTGTAAACAGGCAGCTTGTTGGCCTTTCCTGTATTTACAGGGACAATATCCTGGAAGGCAAATGAACAAGCAATGGGAGATGGACGGCCAACCTCGCAGCCGAGGGGGCGGACCTTCCGTGCGGAGGCTGATTATTTGCTGATGGAGACACAGGCAGACCACTTCCCCTCCTCTCCTCACACTCAGCAGGTGAAAGCGATCTAAAGTGACCTTCACCATGTCGGATAACACAGGGGGCTGACAGCCCCCTCTATTTGGGCTGACCTCTGGGAAAGTTTTGTGCCCACGGTAAATGCACCTGGCGGCAATGAGCTCGCGGGTGATGCTCACTTAACAGCTGCCGGGGGGCTCTCGGTTGGCCGGGCAGATGTCTGCCTACGGTCGGCCTTCAGACAGCTGAGGGAGAACAATCTCTGATGGCAGCAGGCTCGGCAAGGACGGTGAACACGTGCCGAGGACAAGAAAGCAAATGTTCACTTATTACGACTCTCTGGCTGACATTAAATGATATTCACACTGCATGCAATATCCCAAATGAACGAAACTGATTATAACTCTGGAAAAGGATCATTAGCATCTTGCAATATTACAGAATTATAGTATTAAGAGTAACATAGTAAGTTAATAAGCAGTAAGCATCTGATAATGCTTAATACAATTAATTACCCTGGTTCAAAAACGCAAATACATTCAATAAATTGTAAGAATTCTATACGTGACAGTATTCTTAGCTTTCTTTATTGCTGAATGTTTCCTTCCAGCCCAACGATAACAACTGTCAAAGCACTGATATACTAATGACCCAAAGATGTGGGCTATTTTTGTGGACCAGCATCGGTGAAGATGGCATCTAATTAAATAGGAGCATAAGACATTTCAAGCACCATTAAATAAGTTGTCAGACTCGCAAACCCACAGTGACTGGTACATTTATGGGGGGGGGGGGAATGCAGCCACCATCGCTGCTGCTTTGAATGGACCAAAACAAACATCCTGACAAGGCATTTAATACTAAACTTACTAAATAGTGGGGCAGCTAATCTTGTGCTAATGACCTCAAATTTCAGTTACTCTGGAGGATCTCCAAGGCAACATCTCCTCCTGGATGGAACAACTTACTAAAATTGGTCAGTCCATCCATGCTATAAAAATCATAGAAAATTCATCCAAGAGATTCACTCTAAATAACAACAAAAGTTTCATCCAAGATTCAACGTTTCTGCTTTTTGTCCAGGAAAAAACAATGGAATACTATTAGAAACTAAGCCCTTTTCATAACCATTTACCCTCTCACAGGTAGCACATGGCACAAGGCAGGGGACATCCTGGATGGGATCTTAGCCCATCGCAGCAGATTAGGTTACACCCATTGATCTTCCAGCTCGTTTGTCTGGTCAGGGTCACGTGGGAAGATGGAGTTTATCCCAAGCAGCACAGGACACAAGGCTGGGATGCCAATACATCGCCGTTGATTAAACCATATGTTCATTCATTATCCATCCATGTATCTTTCAACTGCTTATCCTGTATAGGGTCTCACATTTTATCATTTTTAATAAAAGGACACAAATACTTAGTAGTAACACAGTTATTACTGAAGTACAAAATCATGAACAAATATAGTACCTACTTGAGATAAAAAGATGTGTCATGATTCGTTAATGATGAACAAACATGAGATCAGTATATTTCACTTGGGTTATTCATGACTTGTTCCTTCAGTAGTTCATAAAGATTTACTGAAATTGACAGATTAAGCAACAAATATGATAACTGCTTGTGATAAAAGATACATCACAATTCATTAGTGATGAACAAACATGAGATCACTATTTCACTTGTGTTATTCAGTACTGGTTCCTTCAGTAGTTCAAAGGTTTACAGAATATAGTAACAAATATAATAACTGCTTGGGATGAAATATGCATCACCATTTAGTGATGATGAACAAACATGAGATCAGTATTTTACTTGTATTATTCATGACTTTTTCCTTCAGTAGTTCCTTCAGTAGTTCACAAAGGTTTACAAAACTGACATAGTAACAAATGCAATTACTGCATTACAAATATAGAAACTGCTTCAGATAAAACATATGTCACAATTTATGAGTGATGAACAAACATGAGATCAGTATGTAACTATGATTTAGTTTGTGGTTAATTAATACGTAAGTAATAGTATAATACAATAGTATAATACAATATTATTTTTAAGTGTTACCAAAACATATAATAAATTACACACACATTTTCTGTCTATTTGTAGTTAATGTTAAAAATAACATGTTTTCCCCAATATACCCTGAAGGGACAGTTCTGTAAAGTGAAAGTTCTTTGTCTTCTGAAAGTACAAAAGCAGGGTTTTGCAAAATACACCTACATATTTTTGCCAGTAATACAGTCATTCGCACTGAGGATCCTGCAGACGTAATGGTGATTTTCACAGCTATGATTCAGGAACTTTAGATGTTTTTTCTACTGCAGTCTTAAGACAACTGTGTTAGCACTGTATGAAATGGTCACTCTCCCATCCATTCATTTTCCATAACTGCTTGTCCTATTAAGGGTCGCGGAGGTCTGGAGCCTATCCTGAAGGCTACAGACGCAAGGCGGGCTACAACCCAAGATGGGATGCTAACCCTTTGCAGGGCACACTCACACACCATTTTCTCACACACCTATGGACAATGTGGCAACTCCAATTAGCCTCAGCATGCTTTTGGACTGTGGGGGGAAACTGGAGTACCCGGAGGAAACAACAACACAGGGAGAACATGCAAACTCTACTGTCTGGCAGGGAGCTGGGAGGGAGCAAAAATGTGAACTGTCTGGCAGGGAGCTGGGAGGGAGCAAAAATGTGAACTGTCTGGCAGGGAGCTGGGACAACATGGACCGACTGTGGGTCTCTGAGGACCAGGTGGGGAAACACTGCCTTAGAGTATTATTCCAACGCTGCTGATGGTGCGTTCCTGCAGCATCTATGGGGCATCTATGGGGCATCTATCCATGGTTGACAGCGTCAAGATTGGCAGGGATTTGCCATCAGCCCTGTCTGGGCCCCCTTCCATCTCCATTAACAGACCCTCTCAATTAATGGCAAACAGTGTGACTGACAGCCTGTGTCACACCCAGGATGCTGTGGCAGCAGGAACAGCTTCAGCACCACATGGCATCAATGTGTCTAAACCAGCTGATTAAGGGTGTCACAGATATAGCAGGGAAGGGGGGGGGAGACAAGCCTTTTTTTTGAGGCTTTTGCAGTTTTTTTTTTTTTAGAAAGAAAACACATCCATGCAGCATTGGGTCCCTACATAACATTGCTGCACTGACAGCAAAAGGAGAACAACTAGTTACACACACCTAACCTAAAGGCTGGTCCACGTTTCTCCACAGAAGCACAACAGTCGCATATCCACTCTGTGCAAACACAGAAACGTTCCTACTTGTCCGGTCAAGCCTCGTACTTTACACGTGTTGTATTTACATTTTTAAATTATTATAATTATTAATAACAATAATAATTATTGAAATTATTATTCTGATATTCCCTGCACACGTACTACAGCAGTGAGGTTTGTGCCAGTTTCTCTATGTTTTACAAATTCAGAGGCAGTTCACAGGGTCGCCAATTTTGGTCAGCTGGCTGGCGTGAGATTTTCATTTCAAGACAAGTCTGCACTCGCACACACACACATTTACATTTATGTAACTGTTTTATTACCTTGTAAATAGTCTGTAGGGTTTGCAACCTACCCTAATGCTCGTCAAAAGCATCCATGTTGGTGTTTAAAGTGGACACTAGCGAATCGATCATGCTCAGTGTGTCCAGAGTGGCGCAGACACTGCTCCACAGACACAGATTTGGTGTGTAGCAGGCGTCCATCTGCAGAGGCGCACAATGACGTCAAACATGTTATAGACATTCAAGCGGACACGTCCAGGACAGGGTGCCAACCCATCGCAGGACACACTCACACACCATTCACTCAAACATGCACACCTATGGACAACTTGGTAACTCCAATTAACCTCAGCATGTTTGTGGACCATCTTCATCTTGTAGTACCCAGAGGGAACCCCACAATGACACAGGGAGAACATGCAAATTCCACACACATCGAGCCATGGCATAGACGCCAACCCTAGCCCAAGCGATGCGAGGTAACAGTGCTAACCACTGTGCCACCATACCCAAAAGATGCATTCATAAATATTTATTTTAAATTAACCTGAAGCAAGTGATGACTTTGTTGGCCAGCAGCTGACTTCACCAAAATGGTTCCAGTTTGAGGAGAATTTTGCTACGCCAATTTTGAGAAAGGTACTTCAAAAAAAATATCTTTATGATGAACACACTATGATAAGGAATACCGCCTCGTCTTTCCTCTTGCCTATTTAAACAAAACCAAGGTCCAGAAGAAAAGATGATTAATGGAAAACGTGCCCTGAGATGATTGCCTGTTTACAACACAATTGCCCCATTAACTGGAAATAAGCTTTTTTTTTCCCAGAGACAGCTGATATATGACCACTAGACACAAGAGAAATCAGAGATTCCTCTGGTCACAGCAAGTGTGCCAGAAAACAGCAACACATGGCTTTCAAATCATTATAAAGCAAATCCTCAATTTGTTCTTCTCGTAAAATCAAGTAGAATAACTTATTAGAATGCTGCGGTCACTGCATTCAGACCTTTCTAAATACATTTCATTACTAAAACTCAGAGTCCCATTTATAGTTATGAACACACATGGACCACACTTGGTCACATCAGGATCTCACTCAGACTCGGCTCATCCTGCCAGCCAAGCCATGTCTAAAACAGCCAATCACCTTTGATGAAGACCTCAGTAAACTCATGCCCGGCGCTCATTAGCTCCTCTGTTTATATCCCTACCACAGTTCTTTTCACAGAAGGACAAACACTGCAAATGCTACTTGGCTTTATGCAATGGCCAGAGGCCGCACCCGGAACATGCCAAAAGGTCTTTGATCCCCAGAAACTGTCGCTAACACTCCACCCTTTGCGATATCAGACGGTTAACTAGCAGTACGCCGACTTTCAGTAGCACTCCTTTCATCTCTTAAATGTTCAAGAAACCACCATCAACCACGGCCTACTACACAGCTGGAAGACTGTCTCATCTAACCACGATCTTAAGCAGCAATCCAGAACTCTTTCAGATGTTCTGCTTTGGGGTGGGACTTTAGATTTGTGACATTAGATTTGTATTTTTTGTGGCTCAGAGATAAATCAAAAGGATCTCAATTAGATACAGCAGACAAACCCTAGGGGAGCTACTCAGGGACAACATATATGGCTTGGAGAATCACAGGCGATATTGTAAACGATGATGGAAGGTTAACAGAAAGAAGAGACACCTCAAAACAGCAGCCACATGGCCAACTTGCCCTCACAGAGCAAGCACTTGAAAGCAGCCTTTATTGTACTCTTGAGGCAAAAGGGATCAAGCTGTACATATTTAAAGATTTTAATGACTTCCATAGCCATTCCAACAGAAACAAGGGCATGATTAAGAGCATCACTGCAGGCTGGGGAGGATTCATTTCTGCCAGCGTGTCTCTGCTACAAGCCAATTTGGAGGCCCACCCAGAGGCACCCCAAGCCTCATGGCGGCAGCTCATTTGTCGCCATAAGCCCATGTGCTTTTCCTGCAAAGATACCAGTTTGTGTAAGTAGTTATGAGCTTGAGAAAGCCTGTGAAATTCCACAGTCTCAGCAACTGTGGGTCTGGATGCTAGTAATCAGAAAAAGACTTGAGTTACTCAGGACTATCAAATTGGGATAAGTAGCATGAGTTTAGGTCTCACTGAGCCCCCGACAAATGGAGTCCTGGTGCCTAGCCATCTCTGTGAGCTATCAGACTGACTGTACCTCTCTGTTTCATGTGCCAGTGTCCCCTACAGCAACTGTATGTATTTAAAACATATTACGTAAAACCACCCTGTGCCATCTCAAAATGGCTCACAAATGTGGCACTAAGGAAAGTGAAAGCAAAAGAATAACCCTTGTTTTACCACAAAGAGCAAACACGAGAACCCAGCATTTAATCTTCTGCATTATTCTCATGTCAATTACACGCCAATTAAAAACTCTACTCATCACAAATCCCTGGGCATCTATAAGCCCAGAACACAGTTGGCCAAACAGCAGAAAGCCTTTGGCAAACTGGTTTAAATAACACAATTTATGTAAGAATGACTGCCAGGCCTTTAGAAATGTCCTGGATTAACTCGTCCTCTTTTTACTGTAGAATGTACACGTCAAAGAGCCAATGGAGAAGAGACTACAATGGAGCTGACAGACCAAACAGAGCTGAATGATAACAAGCGATGGGCTTGTTGTTTGACCTATGCTTCAATGTTGATTGCTAGAACCCCCACCTACTTAGTTTGGGGGGGGGGGGGCATTATTGCCATTTACCTACCCCTCCAAAGACTCAAACTGAGGGTTATGACAAATGCCAGGCTTCTACAAAAGTTAGTTCTTTTCATTGCACCCCTCCCACCAACACCAAACGGGCTAATTGTTATTGCCATGGTTCATGTTCTAGTCGGTTAGCACGTGCTCTCATCCAGAGCAGCACTCGATGATTAGCTACAAAATCAAAATGTCACTTCAAAGCCCCAGAATTCAAAGGTAAACCTGGACAGAATTCCACGCAGAATTTTTAAATGGAGTCACAATTAACATGCAATGAATTTAAAACAGAATGGAATAATGGGTGCCAAGGGAACACACTGTGGGTTATTAGGGAGATGAAAGCAGCAAGTAATTTAAAAGCATTAAACGAGACCTAGAGTAGATCTGGCAGATTGAAGTAGCAGGTATTGTTTAAAAAAATACACTCAGGTTCATTATGTTTCTGTAGCTGTGGGGGGGGAAGAGGTTCAGATTTTTTCCCCCCAGAAACTGTACTGTCAATTTTACTCTCATAATGTGTTTCTCTGTTTACAAACTATCATACTCAGCCTGGCACTTCTGGCCTGTGTTTACAGTGTGGGTTTATTATTATTATCATTTTAACAGTTTTACCTCCAGCTGTCTCCACACAGTCATCATACAAATTAAGACATTCTTACCTTTCCTACTTGGCAGGTTTGGGTGACCATGTTGTTGCACAGATCCATAGAGGCTGACTCATCTCTGTCTTTCACCCTCAGGTCCTGAGAGCTTCAACTCCAGGAATTTGACTCTGCAAGCCCAGAAGAAAATCCTGAGCAAAATGGCCACTATGGTGGTGGCCAACTTACTGACAGATGACACCAGCAGCGAGATCCTGGACGAGCTGTACAAGGCAACCCGCGAGTACACCCAGAGTAAGAAGGAGGCGCACAAGATCATCAAGGATGTCATCAAGATTGCTCTGAAGGTCGGCATCCTCTACCGCAACAACCAGTTCAGCCCAGATGAGATGGAGACGGCGGAGCGATTCAAGAAGAAGATGAATCAGGCGGCCATGACGGCAGTCAGCTTCTATGAGGTGGACTACACCTTTGACCGGAACATTCTCTCAGAGCTGCTGCTGGAGTGCCGGGACCTTCTGCATGAGCTGGTGGAGACCCACCTGACAGCTCGCTCCCATAGTCGCATTGACCACGTCTTCAACCACTTTGCAGACGTGGAGTTCCTGTCTGTGCTTTATGGCTCCTCCGAGGAGTACGGACTTTGCTTGAAGAACATCTGCCAGGGGATTAACAAACTTCTCGAGGAGGGTGTGCTTTAATTCATGAGCTTCTCTCATACATTTGCCTCTATTTTCTTTCCCGTTGCCTTGTGTGTTATAAATTTTGACTGGATGGAGATGTCTTCATGGATTTATTATATATACATATATTTTCCCTGGTTTCTCTGGTGTAAGTCTTCTTATTGTTGTATATTTCAGAGTTAGAAAAGCCTTACTAATTATGATTATGAATATTTTATAGACATTGCGCCGGTCATGCCCTGCTCCATTTTTAACAGCACATTAGAAAAACATGCAGCACCGTTCCACATTTATTGCTGTGGTTCCAGTCACACCTACGCCCACTTAAAAATACCTACCCACTGCAGCTTTTTTTAATCCAACCGCTTAACTCGGGATGGAATGCGATGTGTCACCTTTCCTACATGGATCACAAGCGACCGTTGACAGCCTTCACTTTCTGCAAATCTTTTATTTATATATTTATTATCTTTTTTAAACAGGGCAGCTCTCCAGGGTCAGAGATTCGAATAGCACCCCTACTCTGCGCTTCAACATCGCCTGCCCTCCCTGTGTCATGCAGATCTCCTCCCATTGTCCAAAGATGTCCAGTTGGGCTAATTAGTGTCTCTAAATTGCCTGTAGTGTGGATGTGTATGTGTGGTCCAGGGTGTAGCCCCAGCATGCCTGGGATAGGCTCCAGGTCCTTCTGCGACCATGACAAAGATAAACAGTGAGAAGATCTTTGTAAGCATAACACACTACATCTCCTTGCTGACTGCCTGGTGACTCCAAATTAGCTAAACAGTCCTGATTCTCCAGAAGCCATGTGAATGTGTGGATGCAGTTATTTCATACTCCCTCCTTGGTAAAGAGTATAATATAAGAAAACGTCTTTTATTAAAGGTTACTTATGAAATTAACCTGGAATATTGCCATCTTTTTTCTTTATTTGCTTTGATTTCCTAACAGAAGCATCAAACAAAGTGATGAAAGTGATGCAGTTCTGTCATATGCAGTATCAAGTCCCATTGTAATATCTGTCTCTCTGTGACAGAGACTTTGAGTTGTGTTAAGAAGAGGTGCAGTATTCTCAGTGCGGGCAAAACTATCCAGAGTCACCTCATCTGAATGCCACTCTGAGGCCCCACCAGCCTGAGGGCTTCTGCTCAAGCATGCTTCTTTTTTTGGTCTCTGGGGAGCGGGGACTTTTTCTGGCCAAAGTTCTGATTGTTCGTATCCTAGTTTTTTTTCCCCCGGATAGAAGACAAAGAATCAGCCAGTGCTTGTTAGGTGTAGTGAATACCCAGCCAACGACACAGAAAATGGACCATGCGTGAAAAAAAAGGTAGAGTTACGTTAAGGCAACAGACACAAAACTCAGCAGGGTGAGTATAAGACAGAAGGAGGTGTCATCACACCCTAGGGGAACAATCTGGAGTGGACACAAGGGTAAAAGCCTAAACCTAATGAGCAGGACATCAAGCTAAATGTCTTCTTCCCTTCTAGGACTGGGTAATACATTCTGAGAATAATGACCACAACAGCAAAGACATGGCAGATGTCTGAAAAGTCAATTACAAGGAGTTGTGGGCTCACGCTCCCCATACAGATTGCTGAAGGATGCATTTTAGTGAGAATTTTCAATGAAACGCTGCACTGACTCACATCTGCCCCATCACAGTAGGCCTCCCGGTCCCTCTGCTTCAGGTTTTTAAGGGGACCTCAAAAGGGCAAAACATACCCAGGGGCACAACCCCTCCAAAGACCAGATAAACCTCTGCGCATGTTCCCATGGTGCTGTAACAGCAGGCTAACTGCACTGTTTTGTGTGTATCGTCGGTTACCAAGCTCTTGATGATCTCCACCCACTAATGGTTATTACCAGGAACAATTCTAGGATTTTAAAATTAGGGGGGCTCAGCTTCCTGAAAAAATATAACATTGTAATTATATTTTGCAGTGGGTTCATTTAGATAAATATTAAAGGAAAAAAATAGTTTTTTATAATTTACAATGACAAAGTAACGCAGTTCAGCCAAATTCGATTTTTACCAGCAACGAAAAGACGCGCGACGAACTACAGCTCGCCAGTCGCGCTTTTAAAGCAGGTGAAAAAGGCGGGAAGCAGTCTGAGGTAAAATTCAACGGTAAAATTCTCAACTTTTGGTTTTAAAACTACATGGAAATGTTCTTAAAAGGTATATATTTATTAAATTGTTTTGTTCAATTCGAAATAAGTGTTTAGAGAGATACAAAACCTTCCATTAAATTAGCTGCTGAAATTAGTAAATACATCCTTTCAGTCTTGCACAGATATAATGATTGTTATTATGATTATAATGATTTAGGTTATTTCGGTAAAATTTGGATTATGTTTCAGTGTCATTTTTCAAAGGATATTTTTAGACATCCTGAGGTAGCTAATATAAGCTATTATTGGCCATACGTATTCAGTATAATGTTACTGCATTAGCTACTTAAAAATATAGTTTTCTTTTTCATATTACCAAGTTTTGTAAAACTTTATAGATGTCCCACTTTGGCTAAAACGTTATCTCGACATATACATTCGTTCTCCTTTTACGCTCATCTTCAGAAGTCCCGCCCGCTGCCACGTGTGCCGAACCCACACCGTCTGGGAACCAACTGAAATACCGGTTTAGTGCATCTGCCCCCTAAACATAGCCGGCAACGTGAATTCGGAGAAGCTTTGTTACATTTGGATTGATTATCGTACATGCTGTTTACGATACTATTACAGAAAATACCAAAGGCTATTCAGGACTTAAGCCAATAAATACACCTACACAACGAGCTCCTGGTTATTACGATTAGTTTGTTACCATTTTATATGCTCAATGACAAATTGATAGATGTTCAATTCATTAATCCGTTACAATGCACCCTTTTTTTGGAACGCCAAATGCTGAATCAAGAATTGCGTTCTTAAATGAATCAGTAAAAAATGAACTTATCTGCTGTCCTTCCTCCACATTTTAAACGACTTGGGTACAAAATGGCACCGATTCCAGCCGGAGTGGCAGTAGAGATGATTTCTAAGTAGACGTTTTAAAGAACCTCACCAGAAAAACAAGCTGGTAAGGCCTAGAGAGCCAACAGACATGGGGTGTGGCACCGGAAATGACCTTTCCGTATTTCCAAGGAAGATCCCAGGATCTCACACAGCATAAGCGAGGCAGGTTCCAAGCCACATGTAAGGGTTCAAACCCTCATTCACATTTGTACAGTTGTAGTAGAAAACACTAGCGCCCCCTTGTGGATTTGAAACCAATTAAAATGGTCAATTCCACACACAAACCTATAAGTTGACAAATTATAAATACTAATTACAAGGCAGACAAAAACAGTGTGTGTGTGGGGGCGGGGGTAGGGGGAATTAAAAAGATACAAATGCTCATGATTACCGTGTGAGGGTTGGGAGACAAGTTAGCAACAGAGTGTGAGACAGCAGAAAGATCGAGCAGAACAGTGACAGGGACATTTAATCAAAGCTGTGTGACAGGAAGCAAAGTACCAGTGACCCTAATGAACACACCGCCTGTGTGTGTTAGACATAAGGCATTCGGTCACCTTTATTCCCATCTGTGCACGCAACCCAGGCTGTTACAGAAATAAGGTACAGGAAACCAGCGACATCCACACAAAACCTGAGCAAACACCCCAAAACTTCTGCTTTGACCACAGTTTAAGAGACACACCAGTGAAAAAGGCAAATAATCATTAAGATGAGGAAAGGTGTTGGGGGACATTGTGGCCGTCTTTAGTAGCATGCATGTATGTTTTTTCCCCCCAGCAGATACAACTGGTTTCAGTGACCACAGAAAGCCGAATTTGGGGACAGGTGACCAGGGTGATAAATAAGCTGATAATTCAAACAATGTCCCCCCATGCACTGAATTAAGAGCCAAAGGAAGAGGTGAAACCCACCGGAAACATACAGTAACTGCTGTACCCAAGTCTTTACCTAAGAACTGCCCATCTGGATAATCGCACACACACTTCACCCCAAACTTCTTTAAATAAAGAAAATCAGACAAGTCACTATTAGTATACTTTGAAACACGTTAACTAGCTTTAGTAATCACTAGTTAACTGATAATTTCATGAAATGAGAATCCATTGAGATACCTGGACTGGAGATGCCTGGTCAGGTCCAGACATCGGTGCTACATGGAGTTAGAAAATATGTGCATGACTGCAGTACAGTAGTTTGAAGTGACATGACATGCAACCACAGAGCAACAGATAGACACATACAGTATGATGACGACACTCAGCCAATGAAATCCTGCTGCCCTCTTGTGGTCGAAAATGGAAACCATCGTTAAGAGCCTGTGGGTGTAGGACCAGCATGTCTCATACTGCAACTGCACGTCACATACCATATCAAACCCAGACTGCGAGATTAGTTGAGAGTTTTGACTGCTAACAGCACCTTAAACCTGGGTATATTTAAGGTTAGATAGTAACACTAACCCTAACCCCCTCCATCGCCCCCCCCCCCTTGGTGGATGACACCAGTTTAATGCTGTAACCAGGCAACATGGGGGATCAAGCACAGCTGCTCATACTCCCACAGTCAGCAGCTGAAGTGAAACGGAACACGGCAGGAGCTACTGAAGGACCATGGGAGGCAGGAAGGCTGCGCTAACGGGGGACTAATTAGTGTCAGCTTTCATTCAGAAGGAAGCCACCGTGGAAGCAAAAGACTGCGGGGGGCAGCCTGGGGACATCCAGAGGCAGTATGACCAGCAACAGGCGGAGCTTGGCTATTCTCCAGTGTACCAGTTCTTTCGGAAGATATCACACTTGCGCTGCTAGATCTGATGCATCTCCTTTGATCTTTTCTGGAGCTTTACTCTACAAAACTGGATCCTGGGAGACTTCATAGGAACACATTCATCACTCACGTGAAAAAATAATTCATCTTTGGCATCACTATAGTAGTCAGGAGGCTAGATTAGTGTTAATGGGTTATACTGCAATTCCTTTTAGCACGGCCCCACACACGCTCACACCCCTGCTGCTAATCGAGAGACCGCTGGGGCAGCGATCGACCCTGACATCACCCTAGAGCTTCATTCCCGGGCTGGAAATAATGGTCGTCCAATGTGGGGGGGTGGCGGTCTGAGCGGGACAATTTGGCAGACGGGGCAGGTAGCTGAAAGGGCATCTCCTTCTGTGCCTTGGGGTCACAGGTATTAATACAATAACATTTTCACCCCCCCCCCACCCCTACAAAACAAGAACACCTAAAAAACTCATAAAAAAACTGTCCAACAGTAAAAACAATAAATACAGCTTTTAAAATAAGTGAGAATTGCAGGGTGGATGAGGCCTTGTAGTCTCATAAGGAGTGAATGCTGAGCAGCACGTTTGAGAAGGCTGTTCTGAAGCGTGTACACACACACACACACACACACACACACACACACACACACACACACACACACACACACACACACACACACACACACACACACACACACACACACACACACACGTACGCGCGCACACTCAGGCATACACACTGGTACATACATGCACGCACACACGCACACACACAGCTGCTAACCAGCAGCCCCACATTTCAGCATTGGTCCCGCCTCCCAGGGACTCTCCACACCGCACCCCAAGTCCATCCCCTCCTCACAGCCTGTCCCTCCTTCTCCGGCCAGCCCTCCCACTCAGCTTTCCTCAATGGCCTTCTGGCAGTGGTAGAGCAGGCAGTCCGGGAGGGTGGGCAGGGGCGAGCGCAGCCAGGCCGTCAGCGTGCCGCCATGGGCATGGCAGTGAAGCAGACACGGCTGCCCTGGGACCAGCTGGCACGCCACGATGCCCTCAGCACCTGCAGGGGGGCAGGGTGCCCGTGTTCAGCACACACCACCATCAGATAAACTGGGCACTATGCCGGCACCATCCTGTCGCACTTACCTATGATGTCCACTATGTGGAGCCGCAGTTTGTCCTTCAGAGCGGCCAGTGTGGCCGCAAGCGGGTCCTCGCTGTCTGCCAGCAGCCTGAGGTTCTGCTTCACATCGTTGGAGAAGGAGAGCCACAGCCTGCCGTACTCCTCCGTGGACACAGGCAGGGGCCTGTGGGCATCAGCAGACTGCTTGTAATGGGCACCGGAGGCTGGCTTACACTCCCCTGCTCGGCTATGGCCTTGGCGGTGTACAGGGCCAGCGGGGGTCGCCTGCACCACCCAAGCCACGATGCAGTCCGGCGCCGTACCTGATGAAGTCAGCCAGAGAGAGGCTCAGGGAGACGGCCTGCTGTGTGGGCGCCCCAGCCCCGGGGCGGTACGACACTCTGACCGCCACTACGGCCTGGCTGCTGGGAAGCTCCATCACCAGATGGTGGAGGACCACTGCCACGCCACGGCCGGCCAGGAGGGAGATGGAGGCTGCGGTGGTGTATCCGTCTGTGACCTAAAGGAGGAGAGCGAGCGAGATCAGACGGCGAGTCGCGCAGGCGCCATCCCGGCTCAGAGAGAAGTACGCGCACGGCACCTTCGCTTCCTCTGAGGTCACGTCACATGACAGCTCTTCGAGGGGCAAATCGCAGGCATTGGACAGGAAGAGGGCGAGAAGCAGGGCATCTCGCTGGTAGACTTTGCAGGCGCAGACAGAGAGGGTCCCGTCCGAGCAGAGCGCCTCCATGTCCGAGCGCGGCAATGCCAACAGCGCCGGCGGCAAAAGGGAGCCGGGCGCGTCGCCAGGGCTCAGCACGGGCGCCGGTGCCATGCCAGCATCCAGAGACCCCCCCGCCGCTTCACCTCCACCGTCCAAGCAGCTCTGGGGAACAGAGGGTCCATCCAGTGAATACAGCAGAGCGGAATCAGGGACGGCGTCGTCGAAGAGGCCGTCCAGTGTATCGTCCACGGAGGAAACGGGCGGCCGGCTCCCGCCGTCAAGGGCCTCCTGGTCAGGCCTCTGCCGGCGCCAGATACGCTTGGGTGCTGCGTCCGGCTTCCCCATCTGTAGGACAAGAGGACATCTGCACAATCAGAGCTGGGGGGGGGGGTCACTGCTTGGACACCTGCTGTCTTCCTTCATAGATCGTCCCCATACTCAGCGAGCCCAACACACATGCCTGCTTAAGACCAACACCTGCCACTGTTGGTAAGTTACTCCATGTCCCGTTACTCTGAGTCACATGATCAAAGTTCTGGCGTAGCGATGAGGACCCCGCCCAGCTAAGCACACAATCCCCCATGAATATAAACACCCCAGGTGCTCATGGGATACGCGGGGCAGCTAAATCCAGTGTCCATTCAGGGCCATACAGATGCCTGCCTTATATTGACCATCACCCAAAGAGGAGATGGGGAGAGCAGTGGCTGGCATGCATCAGCAGGAGGCGCTGTACACTGGTGAGGTGAATTAGTCACAGTAAACAGTATGGAGTGCTTACAGTCACACCAGAAATACTGCAGACATTTAGGGATAGATGTACAAGAAACCATCACTTAGTGGTACAAAAACAGCTTTATGGAATTATATCTGTACACGTTCTATGGCTACAGAAACCACCTGCACATACACAGGCATCCAGTAGCACCTCGGAGTTAGATAGCGGGTGGAACCACAAAAACATACATCTTACCAGACACAATGAATTCTGGGACCCCAGACCCACAAAGAGTGTGGCAGCCAGCTGCCGCTTCTCCTGTTCTTCTTCCCCAGCAGATGAGACAGCCAGCTGAGTGTGCTCAGCGCCGCCCTGCTGGCAGGAGGGAGTCGGGGCACTGGAGGCTACTGGGGGAGGAGCTTCTTCTGTGGCTTCCTTCTGGGGAAGGTAACCCTCTTTCCCCCACACCTTCTTCACTCCGTCCAGCTTCAGTGTATTAGAGCTTCAAGGCAAAGCGATCAAGAGGAATTATGGGACTGTGGAGGGGCATCAGATCGCAGCATTCACAAAACAACAAACCATATAGACAGGTGCCTGCAGTGATGAAGCTTCTAGAAACTCCGGTGCAGTGCTGGGTGGCCTGACCCACCTGGCCTTCTGCATCTGTTCAGTGCTGTTTCCCGAGATCCCAGAGCTGAGGGACATGGCGGTGGGGGACTGCCGGTCGGTGAGGCTGCAGGCGGACAGGCTAGCAGGCAGCGACGGGCCGTACGGCTCGAAGTTCAGTGCTGCGGGGGGCGAGAAGCTTAGCGAGGCGACCGCACAAATTGAGACCCACAGGGCGATCTTCAAAGCCATCTAGAGCCACCTTAACATTATACAGTATTTCTCTGTTTCCCAGCAAAATCGATAACAGCAACCCCTCTTGGCAGTAACTAGCAGGAGCGCATCCAGAATGCACCTGGCCCAGCCCCCACCTTTGTGCTGGGAGAGCTCCTCCTGTCTCTGGTGAGGAGGTTTGTATGGAGCCGCTCCCAGCGCCAAGGCCTCCGACACAAAGCCATCCAGGAAGGACAAGGAGGAGTCGACCTGCGGACACAAGGGCCACAGTCACTAGAGCCTTGAGTCAGACGCACGGCAGCTTGGGAGGGGACATCTCCCTAGATCTCTGCAACACAAGTCACCAGATCTCTGATACAGTCTCTGGTGGTTAAAGTCACACTACAAAAATCAATTACTAATATAAAATGAAACTTTTTAAAAATCAGGGCTTCGTATAGAAATATGCATAGGTTGCTTCCTTTGCTGTGAGCATCATGGGTTCGAGAGAGAGCAGCAATTAGCATCAGGGGATATCAGCAGTGGCCTTTAGGCTCCCCTGCCCCAATTTTAGTCCATTTTTGTCTAAAGTTAAACCGACGGGCACACTGGTACCTCCAGGTCCTCACAGCTGGCATCATGTGGCAGGACCCTGTGCCTCAGCGGGGCATCCTGGCCCAGCAGCTCCAGCTCCATCGCCTGCTGCCTCAGTGCTGTGTCCAGGCAGGCGCTGTATTGGTGCGCCACCTCCCTCGCCCTCCGGAGGGCGCCGTCTGTGGTGCACAGTTTGCCCATGGCTGCCAGGACCCAGCACCGTGTCTCCGTGGTGATGTCATGCCGCTCCAGGAGCGCCCCCAGTCGTGCCAGAACATCTGTGGGGTCCTGACCCACTTTTAGGTAGGAGTACTCCCCTAAAACCTGGGGGGGGTGAGGAGGGGCACACTCACTGCTGAAGCATGTGCATCACACAGAAGGTTACATTCCCATCATTACAGGCTGCACTTCAGCACATGCTATTTCCGCCCAGCAGGGGGCAGCACACAGCTTCCTCACCCAGCTGATGATCTGCAGGAAAGGCTGGGGCAGGCTGGCTGCCTCCCCCCCCAGCAAGGACAGGTACGAGTCCACAGCCAGGAGCCTCAGCTGCCTGTCCTCCTCCGCGTTGTCGAAACCTGGAAAGAGATGTCAGCCTGGCCTATGAACGAGCCCGTCAGCAGAGAGAGCGAGAAAAGCAGAAACATTCTTCTTATGTCAGGGACCAGTTAATCTGTTACCCTGTGGGTTAAAACCAGGAAACTCACCTTCCGCCAAAAGCCGGAGGAAATTATTAGTGATGTCCGGCTGCATGGCGTCGCCCCCCAGGGAGAAAACGGCATTCATGGTCTGAACGAACCAGCTGTTGTCTGGGGCATATGTATGGCGGCTTATAGGAAAAAAACATTACTGCAAGTTTGTAAAAAAAAAAAAAAAAAAAAAAAAACACAAAGGGCAGAGTGCAGCAAGCGCCTGGATCAGCTGCAGGATATTTTTCAGCCAGCTCAGCCACTTTCCCCACGAGGCCAATCACTGTGTACTCATCCCTGCTGTGCCGGAGGAAATCCAGCATCTTCTCCACAATGACCGTGACGTTCTGAGCATTGGTGATGCGATACAGCAGCTCCAGGGTCTGCGGGGAAATTGGTTTGATGCCGGGCAGTCCCAGGGTTAGGCAGCCATCAGTGGTGAAGGGAGCCTTACCCAAGCTAATCAGATTTTTACAGGGCAGAGCTAATTATTTACCAATTACAGGGATTCCTAAGAGTGACAATGATCCCCTGTCTCACGGCTAGAGAAACACCCAATCCAGATTACAACCAATCAAGGCCGAATAACCCACAGATGCCCAGATTTGAGCTGGTTGATCTGGTGCTTATTTCAGGCCTTACTGACAAGCCACACCTCTCTCTTGATGATGGGGTCAGGATGATCCAGGCACTCAATGATGGTCATCTGATGCTGAAGGGCCAAGTTGGGATCCTGCTGGACCACATAGGTCAGTGCTTTCAACCCTGAAACAGCACATGGAGAACGGGTCACCACCCGGCCAAAACTTCACCATCTCTTTAACTTTCCAGCTGTAAAAACCTGCAGCCACCACAGGAGGGAGTACATGAGCATCTTACCAAGGTATTTGAGGTTGATCTTAGGAGACAAAACAAACTTCCCAATGCACTTTGCCGCTTTCTCCAGCAGCTCTGACTTTGGGTGGATAGTGTAGACAGTTTTCACACACTCATATAATATGGCTAAGAGAAAGTGAGGAGATTCATTAGCGAATGGGGACCTTAAAGCATAGTTCATAAAAAACTGAAGTAATGCAATCGTGACATATAATACCGTAGGTGATGTTGTGATTTATTTCAGCTCTTCGTAAAGATTCATCCAAAACTTCATACATGATCTCACTTGTTCTGCAATTAAAACATGTATCTTTATGTACATACTTAATTTTTATTGGCATTTATAGAAAAAGAATCCTTAGAAAAGAGATCCTTAACATGAAATGTAATGTTAAAAATACAGGCTACTGATTAGATGTCTTTATTAAATAAAGCTGAAAATGCAGGACAGTATTATTGAGACAGGCAAAATAATATTATGGGATGCCTCTGGTCCCATAAAAAGAGCTTCTTCCCGGCCCGGCTCAGTGGAGTCAGACCTCTGTGAGATGGAGACCCACCTCTGGTCCTCCTTTCCAAGAAGCGCCAAGATGCGGAGCAGCTGCATCTGCAGCCAGGGAGCAGGGACGCTGTGATAGCTGAAGTCGGCTGGCAGCTTCCCACTGACCACCTGCTTCAGGATGACTACGAAGCTGCCAGCCAGCTCCTTGTAGTTCTCAGGGCTCTCCTGCAACAGGCAGCACAGGTGCTCAGGAACAGGCAGGGCTCAAAGACAAGGAAATGAACTACAGGAAAAACACGCCCACATCAGATATCAGGGTAATTTTTTATGCACAAGCCTTCCAGAGCTACAAAGATGAGTTAATGCAGATCCCTTTCATAAGAAGGGAACTTTTACTTTGGGAATATTTATCATTTTTCAACACTACAGCTGTTATTTACATGCTGTAATTGACCCAGCTGTCACCGAGTCTGGGCTACTGAGTTCGGCAGAGAAAACAGCTGCGGTTTTTGCAAAGCGACTTTTCATGGAATGCACCTTGATCATCTGCAAGTAAATATGCAGGGAGGCAGTCATGACCCCTGGGTCCTTGTCACACAGCGCCCTCCGGAACTTATCGTGGATGTGCTGCACCTGATTGGGCGCCATCAGGTAAAACTTGTACAGTGCCAGGACGGCCTTCCTCCGAATGATTTCCCTGGAAACAAGTTCAAAAACAATTCAACCCATATGAATGTTATAAGTAATAAGAATGCCCTTAACCAGATGATTTATCAATGTAACAATCATATATAATTAATCAATTAATCGATATGGAAATAACATGTATAGGGAATAACATACATAATAATGTATATATCCAATAACTACTTTGTGTCAGGTACACAGAACAAATTGCAAAAAGAATGAAAAGCACGGATGCTTAAATGAGACCAACAGTATCTTAACAGACATTTGGGTAAATGCCCTAAACAGTTCAAAAGAGTGCTCTGCTTTAAAACACCACTGCATCTAAAACACAGCATCTGTACCATGTTCTTTTTGAAAATATTTATAATATCCTGACAAAGTAATTCACACACTGTGTCACACTCAAAGACATTTCTGCACATAACAGCACAGAGCACCTTCAGCATAATAACTTACTTGGAGTGTGTCAGCTTGTCCTCCACCAGAGGCAGCACAGCAGGAATCATATCCTTGGGGAAGATCTGGCTTACCACGGTGAGGGCCATGCACACCTCAATGAGGTTTGTACTCTGCAGGTCCTGGAAACAGAAAAAGAACAACACCCATACACTTCTTGGGCCTCTGTGGTGAATGCTTGGTGACTTGGTGACTTGATTCTGTGGATTTATGTGCACACATACCTTCAGCACGGTGTTAACAAGCAGCAGCAGCAGGTCATGACCTTCACGCAGGAACAGCGAAACCGCAAGGTAGCCTGGCAGCACAGAAAGTTCACAGTGCAAAGCAGCACACTATATATTGTGGACAGACCTCTCAAAAGCATTCACACTTTCTGCTGGGAAGTCGGCACTGGAATTAACCTACAGCAGCAGTGGGAGCACTTAAACATGCTAAGAGACCGCGTCAGAACACAAACCGATATAACCTACCGACTCTTTTCTCAAACATGCTTCCTTGCTGTGCCAGTTTGATAGCGTGTATGTAGCAGAAGGATGCCTCAAATCCCAGCATCTCACAGTAAATCGCCCTCACCATGATCTCCTTCATCTGTCTCTGAATGTACCAGATGAAAAAGTTCACTATAATTAAACATTGCAGGAACGGCACAAATTAAGAAATTAATTAAATAACTCCATTAATCATTTTAATGATCATTTCTTTCACAAGGCAAAAGTTTGGTTTTCCAGCAAACAGCATAAAAATTCAGACACAATAGTAAGTGGAGGTACTTGCCAGCGTGGTGTTGGGAGATGACACATGCTCTTTTATAGCAGCTAGCTCTTTTTTAATAAGCTTTTCTTCTTCCTTCGAAGAAAAGAAAAAACAGCGGTTAACCGGGAATTTGCTCCGGCATGCCTTCAGCTAATCACGGTTCCCTTGTGCCTGCAGAAGACGCGCCAGGTTTTACTCACATGTTTGGACGTCAGCTCAGTGATGCCTCTGATCAGGCTCCCCAGTTTGGAAGTGACAGAAAGTTTACCGGCTCCCGGCTGCGAGTCCAGCGACAGAAGGCTTGGCAGAGCCGTCAGAGTTTTCTCAACCACATCACTCATTGCAGATACCTTGCTAAGACATTGACTTGGAAAACTATATGGAATTAGTCCTTGATATTAACGTAACGAACGAAACAAATATAATAAGTTCTGGACGTGTAATTATCAGGGACCAGCGGACACTACTGTACAATTACGCTACTTCCTGTTATTTTGAAGCCCAAACTTTATTCGCTCCTTCACGCGACATAAATACGTTATGCATATTTACTTTCAGACACTAGAGGGCAATACTGAGTCATGGTTTACAAATTGGATGGAGAACGCTTGCTTGTATATTGATTAATCGTGGACATTAGAAAAAGGCGTATTTGGTTTTAATGTCGCTACTATCCTATAAAAGAAAAACAAACAGCTTTCAGTTATTTACATTACCATATAAAACTTTCAAACTAATCAGTACACGCATTTAAAGTCTTCAAAATTGTATTCCAGCAAATTAGTACATGATAAATACACATGCGTACACCGAGAGTAACATGATACTTTTTCCAAGACATAATTCGTTTCATAATTTGTTTTAGCAGTATTTGTTCCGTTAACGCAATCACTCTATTAAATCAACTTCAAAAGCATATATAGTCAAACACGTTGCCAGTATCACAAATAAGGTTTAAAGTCCTTTGATTTGTATCTGCATTTTTGTTCTGTATTCATCTTCACATTAATTTATATTACATCAAACACCTTAATCTGCTTCTGCTACTTATAAAGCAAACAAATTGCTTAGGTGGTGAAACGTTGCCCTCTTAGCTATTAAGACATAGATCAATTCATTTGTTACTCCAATACAGAGGTTCCCATCGCCGTATGGAAACCAGCGCATTTCGGGGATGGAGTGACGCAGGTTGCGTAACAGCTGACGCACATGGGCGGATTTCACGCGCTCTCGCGCCTCTTCTGCTGGCTGTATGAGAGCCGGATCCTGCAGCCCGGAGCGGCAGAGCCGTAAGGCGAGGCTTGGAGTAGATAATCCAGAGAGGAGAACCGGTTTCAGCACCGCGAGCATTCAACAGCTCCCAAGCGCTGCATGCAAGCCCATTGAGCGGAACAGCGTTGAAAACAGAATAAGCACAAATTAATGAATTCTTAGTTTTTTATATTCAGAAATTCTTTTAAGCGGAAACTCATAAAGGCGTAAACTATTCGCATTAATTTTTTAGAATGGCGTCTAAGTGCATAACATTCTTCTTCCTCCAGATTTTCGCTATAAGCGTGTGTCAGATCTGTACCTTTCCCACACCTAACGTGCCTGACGGTAAGTTGAAAATAACTAATTTATATTGACTTATTCTTTTCTCCCATGTATTATTCATTGTAAATTATCGCTCTATTTTGACAAAGACAACATAAAATGAACATTGAACGGCGGGATCGTCCCACAACATCGGCATATGAATTTCAGAAACTTGATAAGGAATATGAGGATGATTGTGTGTCTTCTCACACTTCGCTAATTCAATCGTGTTCCATTTCCATGGGGGCTTAATCTTTGGATTGCAGATCCGATTAAATTATCCATGTGCTGGTTTAACTATAAAATGTATCCGCAAATCAAAGAGCCGCAAAGTCGTAACTAAATTGTTTGTGGAAATAACTAATGTCCCGTTTGATGTTTTTTTTTATATATATATAGCCTACTTTATTTAATATAGGCCTACTTTTATATTACGTATTCAAATAATATGTCTTCAGACTTATCACTAGTTTGTTTTTCTTGAATCTAGATAAAACAATCTACAACCGAGAACTGAATGAGGAGAGACCTTTGCAAGAACAGGTATCCAGTCTCAGTCATTTATATATTACTTTCTAGTCGGAAACCTGCTGTCCTATAGAAGTCGGCTTTGAACATAAATCACAGTTTGATGCTGAAAAGCTTTTGATCTGTGGATTGAGTGTTTTGATTGTGGATACAGGCGGAAATACTGGCGATATTATAAAGGCTGTAGGTAAGAGAAACAGATGGATTTTTCAACTCAGTAGACAGAGCGCAAGTTGAAAGAAAGAAGGAATCGCGGCACATTGTCTTTCAAAGCGGGTTAGAATCGGAGTGAGAAATGGTCCTTTGTTTGTATACATGACAGATCGCAGAAGTGGACCGTGTCAGCGAGAGTAAACCTGTAGGTGAGTCAGATGTTTGCACCGCTAATGAAGTTCTTACTTTCCGATATCGCAGTGGCACGTTTTGAGTTCGCTTGTCTTTACTTTGTCTTACTTTCAGGTAACAAGCGGCAGACTGAGCCAAGGGCGCCGCACACTGACCTGGAGAAAGATGAATTCAGGATGTCAAAATCTTTGGTGGACAAGTCAAAGGTGTCCGACACTGAAGCCCCTGCGGATGAAACTGTCGGCAAAAACTACTTTCCTGACGAATCAGACTCAACAAAAAACAGAAGGCTGGCGGAAAACTATGACTCTACCAAAAGTGACGTGGCGTTCAAGTACGAAGGTGCGCAGGCGTAAAAAATTGTTTGACCGCTTGACTTAGGCCTATTCAAAATCTTAAGTAACCATACAGAGTAATAATATAAGCAGGTTTTCATAATGTGAAAATGAACTAAACTAAAAAAAAACACGTACACAAATGTGGTATAGGGTTTATCCAGACTTTTTAAAAAATTAGTTTTAACTAAATTTTCACTAATTCTTTTTGACAGACTCATGTACAGGAAGACTTTTTAATTGAAATTATCTCAGTAACAAGCTTCCTGGGTATGTCAGTAATTCCATTCCACTGAAATCTACAAGCTGTTGCTTATGAGGCTAAGTGGACCTACTGACCCTGATTGGGCCTACTGCTCTGATATCCATACCCTTCCCGACTCATCCTGTCATCACTCTGCAAACCAGCTGGGTGACCCCCTTAGTCAGAGCTGCTGAAAGGGAACCAAGGCGGCCCTTTGAACTTTCCTGCTGGAGAGAGAAGCCCTGCACCTTTAGTTCAGTGGGAGGGCATTTTGTTTAAAGGGGAAAAAGACCGAGATTATCTGTAAGCCGTCTGTCAGTGGGAGCTGCTTTGTGCTGCGCTGGCCACCGCATAATACACGCGGCACACGGCACGACAGCCGGCTCTCCTTCATCCTTTTGGCAAAGCTGACATGTGTTTGTGGAGCGTTTGCATCTAAGCTGGTTTATATATTACTAACATTTTATCATGATACATACCTCAGAAAAGGACAGGAGAGTCACGACCAGGTAAACGACAGTTACCAAAAAGACACGCTCAGTGTAATTTAACGATTTCATCGACAGGCATTATTATTGTTATCGTTTTCAACAAAATAGTGCAGTGTGGGTGAGGTGTACTCCCCTGTCCTTGTACCGGCTCCTGCAATGAGTGGGAGTTCGGAATGCAGCACATCGCCTGTCCGCCTCCTGCTGATCGCTGCTGTTCCCCTGTGCAGTCGGCTTTGGCTGCTCCCAACGTAACCCTCGATTCTGTCCACGTTCAGCACTTCAGATGGGAGCGTGTGCCCTCCTGCTGGCCGATACTGCAGCCCCTTCCGAGAGCTCAGGCCATATAATCGCAATCTTCGCTGCGGCATACAGTTATGGCTGCAGATATGGTTTCATGACTAAACTGAGGGATAGAATGGTTCCACAGAAGTATCACTTAAGCTGGAGCTAAAACAATCTCAGCAACAAAGAGGTGGTTCTAGCACAAGATTTTCAGCACTGCTTCTAGCAGACTGGCTTATTTTCAGGCTTGCTATGCTTGATCACACGCGTGTGCGATTTATTTAGATTTCTCCGTACCAACATTGTTAGCAGTTGAAGAGAACTTGCAGATCTGCAGAGACACTAGCTATCTTGAGTCTGCTGCAGGCACACGTGCATCCACAGATTAAGGTGCCCTCAGTGTGGCAGAGGAACAGAGGAAAACCAATCAATGGATGGGATTAGGACCAGGCCATGCTTGAACTTTACCAGTCTGAGTCAAGGGTGAGCCTTTCTGACAGACTGGGTTCTATTTCCAGATGACCCAGACAGTTTCCGTACAATTGATGGCACCCCACTGACAGCCAAGGACATTGTGCAGAAGATCGCAGCCAAAATATATGAGGAAGATGACAGGGGGGTGTTCGACAGGATTGTGTCCAAACTCCTGAAACTGGGACTGGTAGGAAATATTTTGTAGAGCATTTTTTCCTTATAAGACAGTATGGCTAAGAAGATTGGCTAAGATACTAGAATCAGTGAATATTAATACTGTTGTTTTTAAAAATGGTGGTGGGGCTTTTGGAAAGACTTTGAAACAGCGATCAAAGCAGGACATCTTGAAAGGGATTTAGCCTGTCATTGGTAATTCACTCACTGCAGGCGTGATGAAACAGCCTTCTAGTGCCTAATGGTCTTCCCCCTCCCAGATCACAGAGAGCCAAGCAGAAACTCTGGAATACGAGGTGGCAGAAGTCCTGCAGGATCTCATTTCCAAGAACGCCAAGGAGAATGAGGTGGAGGACCGCAGCATGGACTACCCCGTCGCCAGGGATGAAGAAGAGGAAGACGAAGTGGAGGAAGACCCTGAGGTGAGCGGTCGCGAGTCCCTGGACTTGGCTCATCTCCATGTCCAAAGCTAAGCTAATGCTAATGATAGCCTGTTGCTATGAGGTTATCTGTCATGAGCATTTTAGTGTGAAACACAAATTGGTTTATCACCGCGAGTCAGGTGGAAACCAGTAGTGTGTCTGCAAACAGCATCAGCATTGCTTTGGAAAGTGTCACTACTGAATGCATTTATATTTCTCTGTGGTCACTGATGCAAGGCTTTGACAAACGTGTAATTGTGCTTGGTTATTTTTGCCTTTCAGCATTAGCGTTTAAAGGGCTTCATGTGTTAGGATAAACCTACAATGATGACAGCATTTGAAAAAATTTCTTCCAGGAAGTTGTGGAAAATTCCAACAGGAAGTATGAGGAAGTACCGGACATGGAGGATGGTGAGGATGCTGAGGAAGAGGCATGGAAGCTTCCCACCGAACTGGAGCGCAGGAGTCAGCTGGCGGCCGACAATGGGCTTGAGGACCTGCAGTACTTCCCCAATTTCTACAACCTCCTCAAGAGCCTCGATTCAGGTGGGAGGGCCGGCGTGCGCACTGCTTTGAGAACCAGCCATCCAATGAGGAACAAGCACAGGTGCCCCAGATCCACGGGCCGGTACATTTTTAGGACGTGCTATTTAAAGAAGTGAGTCTATGCAGAGGAGCGTTGGGCCATAGCACAGAGCCCAGGCTGGACAGGAGGCCTGCCCGCAGCAGATCCACAGGGAAATCTCTGTGCCAGATGAACAACAGAAAAACAATCGGGCCGGCAAGGCAGTTTCAGTGAGCCGCTGCCGTGAGAACGGTGGCTTTGGCCTAGTTTAATCCCTTACTGTTTTAAACAGAGGAGGATGCAGAAGAGAGAGAAACGCTCATCACCATCATGAAGACCCTGATTGACTTTGTGAAGATGATGGTCAAGTACGGTACTATCACACCCGAAGAAGGAGTGTCGTACCTGGGTAAGAGCCCACTTCCCGTCCCGCTGAACAGCAGGTGAATTA